GACAACTTAAGTGACGTTTGGTTCATAGGTTCAGAATCAAGATTTATGATTTTAAGTTTTGAAATTTAAATTTTTTATAAGAGAAAAACACTGTAGTGAATTAAGAACTATGATTCAGAATAATGCCAGAACTCTCGAAACAAACGGAACATTAGTTTTCTAAGTTTCTAATTGCATCTTAATCATGTGTCTTCTTAGATATTGTTCATCTAATTAATCTTCTCTAATGAATTAATGTCTAGATATGAATAAAATGTTTACTTAGACAAACTGAATTATAATCTTCCGCAATTTATAATGAAGCAAATCACCTAATACGTAATAGGCCAAGAATTTAATAAATGATAAATTACTTCCTCATAAGGCACGTGACCATCAATATGAACTCCTGAGGCACGTGAGTTAGATCCGTAAAGTTATGAGGTGACTTCTGTAAAAGATCATGCATCCCTGCTCTTCGTTCCATGCATGCCTGAAAGTATATATGCATGTGTGCGTATCTATGTGTGTGTATATATACACAATAAAATAATCCTTTTTTACCTACTTATTGGTGGTTTTATGTTCGGTATGGTACAGAGAAACGAATAACAGCTAATTAACTGGAGGACCTATGTTATACTACTATTAAACACACACAGATTATACACCTGTATATATGATGTTAGATGAGGGACTCAAATTAATTTTAGAAAAGTTACTATATCGTGTTTTTTTGATAAGTTATTGTTTTTTATTTTTGGGTAAGGGTTATTTTATAGTTTATTATCAATCTATAAATAAGTGTTTTGTGTAAATCTTTAGGTGACTTCGTCAGTGCAGTATATCTTTTGAGATTTAGGAAACTGCACGTCTGACAGATCAAAGAGTTCCAAACAGCAACCGGAAGAGTCTCAACCAACTGGTCTTCTTTGATATTCTCGTTTCCACGATCGGAGTGCGGGTGGGCACACATCGTTCAATCCTCTCTTGGTATTCTTGATCTCCTTCCAATCACAAGAGAGCCAAAGAAAAAATTGTTCTTGAGAATTAAACAATTTTTCCTCTTGGTAATCTTTTATCAATAGCCTCCAAAAAGTGTCTCAAGTGATCTAATGAGTAATGTGACTTAATAGGCTATTTATAGTGTTTAGGAAGTTTTTCCAAAGTCTTAATCGCCTCCAGAGTCGATTTTGTCACGTCAGCATGCATTTTACGTTACAACCGGTCGACCGGTGACAGAGACATTATAACTCACCGGTCGACCGGACCGGTCGACCTGTCTGCACTGACGAAAGTTGTTTTCCTAGTTTTTCAACACGGGAAACTTGCATAGAGCATCAGTTTTGATTCAAGCAACCCAATAGAGAAATTACCTGATCAAAACAGTCATATAATAGTCTTCCTATATTAAACAACTCTTAAAACAATAATTTAACTAATTTATCTAGAATTAATTTATCAATTAATTCACCCGATAAATCACCCATGAATTAACTTTGAACCTCTTTTACGGAAATAACACAAGTTACTAATGTGTAGGAAATACGCCGTATCGTTACAGAAAATTATGTGAGCTAGCAAAGGGACCCGATGGACATATATAAATCAAGCTCCTATAATCACAATGCTACTTGTAAACCAACAAGTCCGTCTCATGATTATAAAACTCTAGCGCTATTCCACTAAAAGCCTAGAGTTGCACTCTCAATTTATATAGCGTGTTTACAAAGCTCTGATTAGCTCTAGTCCATGACTCAATATATTAGTGTATCATCCCCATACGATATCCATAATCGACTTGAGGTCAAGTTCTGTTTTACCTTCCCGATTACATTTATCTTATGTTCCATTATCATACCATCAGAAAAATACTATTCGTACCATTACAAACAGTAAACCATTAGATAACACAGAGTAGTCTAATGGCCGAGCGCTCGTATTTTCCAATCCACTGATAATGCATAAGAGGATATCATTGACTCTTTATAGGAGCTATGGATTCCACTATCTATGAATAATGAATCTACGCATACATGAGTCATACCCCCAATGTACCGGCAAGCGTACCTTTACATAATATCAGGATGTCTCCCTTTAGTACATCAAAGGATACAAGTCAAGCATACGGGTTCATCATCCATCTCAGGATTAAGATGACAACATATAATTCGTCAAAAGTGAATTTTTTTATTCAAACAGAATTATTAATTAAAACAATTCAACTTTGGTCCGATCCAATATAGATTTCACCATTAGAAACTATATCAATGTCTCCACCCATGGAGTCCCACCTCTGACAACCAAGACAAGCCGTCTCCGTTAAGAAGTAGACAATATAACAATCTTAACATGAATAAAGCACCCAACTTTATTCCCTCGATTGTGGATCATAAGATTTAGACTATCATCTTTAGATTCTTGTCTTCCACATGTTCTTCACATTACATGCATGACCTAAAGATTTAGAATGACAGTCTTAGACTTTCAGTTTGCTTATCATACATTCAACTATTATGAACATAAAGAGGACAATACATAGATATATGAAATAAATAAATCTTTATTAATAGTCAAAATGTCTTAAAGAATATTGTTACATTTATTCCTAAGGGCATAAACGCTAACAGTAAGGGGTTTTGGGTAGAGAGAGAGTGAAAAAGAGAAAGTGAAAAAGTTTATTGAGTGTGTAATTCTTAAAACTGTTAGTGAATTTTCTCCCTCTTCCGTGGACGCAGTAAATTTTTCCGAACAACCTAAATCTTTGTCTTCATAATTTTTCTATTATTTTTGTTTTAGTTTATTTTTCTGTTGCGTGGGTGTAGGGGTGTGTTCTTCCCCAACAATTGGTATCAGAGCTATGGTGAAGATTAAAAAAAAAGCTAAGATGATGTCTGAGATAAAGTTTGAGTAGATTGAGTGGTTTGATGGAAAGAGTAATTTCAGCATATGATAGAGTACGGTGAAAGATGTTTGATGCACAGGGATTACTAAAAGCGCTACGAGGAGAGAAGCTTGAAAAGATGAAGATTAAGAAGAATTGGAAGCGAGAGCACTATTCGTTTAAGTTTGACTCCTGAACTAAAACATAGTGTTATGAATGAAACATCTCCTTCGAGTTATGGAAAAAATTAAAAAAAGTTTCTATGTCGAAATCCCTAACAAATAGACTATATTTGAAAAAAACAATTGTATAAGTTGAAGATGGATGAGAAAAGTGATGTTAGGAACCATATAATAATTTTAATAAGAGTATAACTCAATTGTTAAGTGTAGATGTCAAAATTGATGAGGAAGATAAAGCAGTAATTTTGTTGGCCTCCCTAACCAAATCATATGAGACTTTAGTGACTACACTTTTAGTTGGAAAGACGACGTTGACTGTGGATGAGGTGTCAATTGCTCAGTTAGAGACTGCAAATATGAAAAAATCTAATAGTATGTCTCATAATGAACAAGTTTTAGTGGCGAAGTCAGATTCATATAGGGGTAGGAGCAAGTTACGAGGGATATATTATGATAAGAGAGATGATCATTCTCAACCCTGACCAAAGAAGGATATTGAGCGCTATTATTGTCATAAAAATGGGCATATTAGGAGAAATTGTGAAGAACTGACGAAGCATCTAGAAGAATAAAGAAAAACAATAACCCAAGGAGACTTTAGATTCTACAAATGTTATTGGCGACTGGTATGACAATGAAGATAATGTTTATTTTGTTATTGCTGATGAAAATATTTTTTACTCTTGGATCTTAGATTCTAGATGCTCAGTTTATATGTATCCACATAAAGGGTGGTTTGATTCTTATAAACCTTATGATGCCGGTACTTTGTTGATGACTAATGATTCTGGTACTAATTAAGCTGTTGGAATAGGTACTATTAAAGTGAAGATGTTTGATGATATTGTGAAGAAATTGACAAATGTTAGATATGTTTCTCAACTAAGGAGAAGTTTGATTTCTTTGGGAGCTTTGGACACTTTGGGTTGTGAGTATTATGCGAATGGTGGTTTTATGCACATTAAGAGAGGTGATTTTTTTGGCCATGAAGGGTGAAAAAGTGAAAAACTTATATAAACTGATTGAGACTACAGTTGTAGCTGGAACTATGAAGGTGGAGCCATGTCAAGAATAGTCGTCTTTTGTTGTCAAAAAAGTTGCAGGAGTAAAAAAGTGTAATAAGATAATAACAGTTGAAGATGATAAAGATAAGATAGTGAAAACTTATGGCAGTGAATATGCTTTGAAGAAGAAGAAGAAGAAGAAGACAGTTTCTCGTGTCAAGTTTGATGAGAGTTTGAACTTGACGCATATTTATTCTTGTTGAAGTTTGCATCGTCTGTGCAATGACGGGACGGGTGTCGAGATTGGATACTCAATTATATGAGTTGAGAGACTTTGAGTCAAGGTGGAGATTTTTAGGTAACTCACTCAAATTGGTTTTGAAAAAGTTACTATTTTGTGTTTTTTGGTAAGTTACTGTTTTTTTGTTTTTGGACGAGAGTTATTTTATGGTTTATTATAAGTCTATAAATAAGCGTTTTGTGTAACCCTTTATGTGTGCTTAGAGAAAAGTGTAGAGACAGAGTACCTCATTATGAGAGAGAGAGAGAAAAGTGAGAAGAGAGATAGACAAGAGTGTAAGGAGTTTTGGGTAGAGAGAGAAAGTAATAGTTTATTAAATGTGTAATTTTTAAAACTTTTAGTGAATTTTTTTTCCATTTCCATTTACGTAAGAAATTTTTCTAAACTATCAAAATCTTTGTCTTATTTATTTTTCTATTATTTTTATTTCAGTTTATTTTTTTTTACTACGTGGATGTAGGACGTGTTCTTCTTCAACACTATATATATATATATATATATATATATATGTATATTTTTATAGAGACCAATAATCGCTATATTACATCAACAAACAAAACACATAAAATATTTGATCTACTTGGTTTTCCTCAGTAAACAGAACATCAAAATCTGCAACGAGTTGCCAGTATTCGTAACAATTCAAGTAACTAACATGTAGAGATCCATGTAACAAAATCGTCGAGTGACAGTTCATGCATTCTAGAATCATCGTGGAAGCTGTAAGTGATCCTGTCACTGAAGTCAATTATCTGCTTCCACTTCCTTCCAATGCTAATCTGGACAGCCTCATTTGCAACTGTCTTGGTCCAGAGTGAAATTTTGTCCTGCCGCGGGCGCACACTCGCCACCACACCACAAATCTCATCAAATTGCTCTCCAATCAAAGCCATCAAAGTTTCTAACCACATCGTATCGAGGCTAGATTTTTTGTTGCTAGAAACAGTCCACTTGCCTCCATTGGCACATTTGGGATCTTCCCACTTGGGTTCAACACCAGTTCTGAACAAATAGAAATCCGCTTGCGCAGGCAATTTGCTGGGCTTGAATATTTGGTCATACAAACACCAAAATTCCTCGACGGTGTCGAAAGTGTAGACCTGGCGAAGGGAGGTACCCCAGGCGGCGCCTTGGTTGGGCTCGGACTGGTTGTCGAACCAGAACGTCCACTTCCTCTCCAGCTTGTGGGCCCAGCTTTCGAAGTGTTTTGGATCAGTTTTACACGTGATTTCTCCCTAACAAGTGGTATCAGAGTCGATGGTTCGTTTGGGTCAAGCGATCACACTCGATTACAGTTATAAATGCAGATGGTGGAGCAGTTGAGAGTGTGATGCTTTAATATGCCAGCTACTTAAAATTTTAGTTCAAAGAGGAGATCGGTGAACACACACATGAAGGGGAGATTATTGATAAAAATGCATGTATGTGTTGTCTCACATAAAAAGTTGATGAAGATGTAAAATAATTTATATACATAAAATGGATATATATAGTATGTATATATTCCTATTCGTTAATCAATTTGAGGGGAACCAACCTTTCGTATAGCGAATGGTCAGTAATGCAGGTGAAAAACTGATCAAGCAAAATTATCGAAGAATATATTAACTTGCCAAATCATGCCACGCCAATTAGCTAGTGTAGCACTGTTACATATAATATACGTACCTTTTTCAAAATTCCCTCTCAACCTTGTCCTACTGACAAACAAGACAGCTTTTTACAAACTGTTCAAAACTATGTTAGGCCAATAAAAACTTAACTTTTTATTGCATATGTATTAGCAATAGCGAAATCAAACATATATGCTAAGTTTTAGCTAGGGTGAAAAATTTGGTAAAATTCTGACAATTCTTTATCTTTGGTTCTCTTTAAAATAGCAAGATTGGGAGAAACGAGGGTTTCTGCAAGGAAAAATCTCCAACGTGAAAATCTCTTGACAGAGTTTTAATATGAAAATCAAGAAAAGCGTACCTCTTTCCTCGAACTCTTTCCTACTCATTATAGACTTAGGAGTGCACATAAATTTGGGTTCAATCTGATCTTATTAACCGTTGATTCTCAATGGTTTTACATTAGATTAATTTTGCCAATTGTTAAAATTAATTTTGATTTCGATATCCATTGTGTCTAATCATAGATTATGCGCTAGGGCTTTTTGGGCATTCTAATCTTTATTAGTTTTAGCGCTATGCAATTCAGAGCCTTTAATAAAGAGGACTCAAATTTACTGTTTAATTGCTATGCGATTCAGAGCCTTTAATAAAGGGAACTCAAGTTTATTGTTTAATTTTAACGTCTTAATTGATATCTAACAAATTAAATCATGTCACGTTATATAAAAAATTTAAATTACTTTTTAACTAATTCTTTTGTATTTATAATAGAATGATGTAGTGTAATTTAATTAGTTAGATACTAATTAAAACACTAAAAATTAGACAATAAATTTTGATCCGAATAAAGGTGCTCGGGGGATTTATTAATTTTTACGTAGTCGTCGTTTTTCTTGCTTTTGATTAGAGAAACGCCTCCGTCCTCTCCTTTACGTAATGTAATCAAAATGCCGTCATTTTATATACAGATCACTCGGACACTATGATTAGATTCTACATTGTTACTCAGGCAATAGAGCAATTATGAGAAAAAGAAAATGTTAGTTACGACATTAATAAAAAGCGGAAAAAAATAATAATAACTTCACCACAAACAATGCGTTGTTCTACAACCAACATTAAAGACTACAAATCATAATGGCCCAAAATAGTCTCACTTGGCTTAAGCGTGTAATATAAGTTGATCAAAAAGACGTCAATGTCCTAGGTCAAACAACATGGATCGGAATGAGACGAGGCTTTAGTTAGAAAAGGTGAGGGTTCGATCGACAAAACATTTTTTTTTTAATGGAGAAATTTTATTCAATAATTAAGAGCTCGTTTGGAATAATTTGTGTTTATGCTTGTTCTTTTAAATAGTAAAAGAAGATAATGCCTTAAAAAGTGTTAATTAGTATTTAAATAATACCTCAAAAGTAATTTTATATTTAAGAAGAGTTTTTGAATTTATTTGGGTAAAAAAATCAAAAACACTTCTTATTATAAAAAGTTATGTAATAAAAGAATATGTATGAGATATTTAATTTGTTGTTTATAAATAAAAGGTTAAAAATGTAAATAAAAAGACTTTTTATAAGCACTAAGGAGATGACTTATTTTAAAAGTACATAAAAAAGTCAAAAATACTTTAAGGTTGGCCATCTAAACAAGTTCAAAAGCGGCTTTTAGACAAAATAAGCTAAAAATAGTTTTTTTAACCCAATCCAAATGGACCCTAAGTTGATACCACCAAATACAAAGAAATTTGATAGTTAACAATAAACATTTTTTTTTCCTTATGATACCAAATACAAAATATCTAGCGGGAAAAATAAAATCCTAGAAGTACTAATATGCAGTGAATTGACGAATTCCTTAATTAGGTCATATGGCCCCATTTGAAACATAAAGGGCGCGTTTAGAACTCGTTCTAAAATGATTTTATTTTTTATATAAAAATAAAAATGAAAACGTTTTCAATTTCAGACAGAAATCATTTTTGAAAATGCGTTTGGTAATTTTATTAAGATATTATTTTCAATATAAAAAACCTATTAATGTCTCTCTTTCTCTCTCTCTGCTCGAGAGAGGAGAAAACGAAAATAAAAAATAAAAAACGACTAAAAGTCATTTTTTATTTCTCTCTCATTTTACACTAAATTAAAAAATCATTTTTATTTCTATTTTTTTATCTTTATTGTGTCAAACGCCGTTTTGTAAACGTTATTATTTTTTCTTTCTTGAAAAATGTAAAAAATAAAAACGGGATTAATTCCAAACACGGCCAAAGTAAAAGTTAGATTTGTCAAGATTTTATTGCTGTGATATGGGGTAAGTTTCTATTGACTGATAGGTTAAAAAAAAATTGATGCAAAGTTGAAAGAGGAAAGAGAACATTAATGTACATGTTAATGATATAGACACATTGATGCAGCTGAAAGCTTAAAAAAGTGATTAATTAACTGTAAAAGAGATTCATTTTACTAAAATATATACATGTAAAATATTTTGATAGCTTTTCGGATCTTCGAGGATAAATTCTTGTCTGACATGCGATGCCCAATAAATCATTGCCAATTGCTGAGAATTGAGAAAGAACTAATTAATAAACAGTTAAGCAAAAAGTGGCATATGCCAAACTATATTGCTGAACTTTTGGTTTATAAGTACGTGGCTCAATTTATATGGCACCTTCAAAGCAATTAATACTTCTAATTTGCTACATTTCTTGTCGATTTTCACATTGAGTATTGATGAAGAGACGTTTGGTTCATGAATTAGAACCATGTGATTAGAATTATTTTTTATTTACGTGTATTTTTTGTGAGAGAAAATACTGTAACGAACCACGAATCATGATTCGAATCAAGAAACGAATCTAAGTACCAAACATCCTAGTGAAACACAGCTAACAAGTAGCCAAAAGGAATATATTTCATGCTAGGGTCTCGACTCGACACGATTGACTCGATATTAAATATTTTTATATCAGAAAAATATAGACACATATTTTTCATATTTTTAATTTAAATAAGATATGTTGGGAAGGCATTACATGTGAAATTAACCCAATACACTTTAGGAGTCCAACTTAGGTCTAGGATCATTTTATGCATATAAATCATTTCACATCCTCATCTACTTTTCATTTAGGACAGTATACACATGCATTTTTCTCAACAATCTCCCTCTCATGTACGTATTCACAGAGCTCCCCCTCGAACTAAAGTTTCTAGTAGCCGGCACATCCAAGCATCACACTCCAAACATGAGCAAACTCGAGCATGGGTAAGGGGCCGAAACCATGCAAGTCCACCAAATGCTCCACCATCTGCACCTGTAAATACACCAACTGCGGGAACACCAACACTCCTTGAGAGACAACGTTGGAACTGCAACCGAGTGTGATCGCTTGGCCCATACGAACCATCGGCTCTGATACCACTTGTTGGGAAAACACCACATGTGAAACTAGTCCAACACACTTCAGGAGTCCAACTTGACCTAAAAGGTTAATTTATTGGGTCTAGGGTCATTCTATGTATATAAACCATTTCACATAATCCTTATCCACTTTTCATTTAGGACAACACACATGCATTTTTTTCAACAAGATGAAAGACGTGATATTTATGGCCCATAAAATGAAAATAAATTAATACTTAAAATTGGTTTTATTAAATTTTATTTGAATGGCCTTTACATTTAATAAGTGATACGTAGACCATTTCAAAACTAATAATTTAAAATATTAGATCGACGTGAAATCGACTTAAATTGTCACCCCTGTTTTATGCCAGCTAGAGTTTTATCATCTCATACATCATCGAACATTTTATTCTTTCATTTTGGTGTATCAAATATTATAATTGATAAAGAGTTTCCATCGTTGTGATGAATGATTGATTAAGTTTAGGCAGAAACTTGGGGATGCATGTATAATGCAAAAAAGTTTTTTGAAGGAACATAATGCAAGTGGTTGAATATTCCTCAATTAAGCCCTTCCCAATATCATAAGGTCACAATACTGATGTGCAATGACATCATTAATAATGCTCTAATTTTATTTTTATTTTTTATTAATGAGCCTGCCTTTCCAAAAGAATATTATTGGGATGTGAGTGCATTAAACGCTACAACCTATTTCACTTAAAAAAAGGGTATATATATATATATATATATATATCTGGAAAAAGGGACAAACATATTTAGAATCTGCATGCATATAATATGCATAAATTAAGCTTAATATGATTGACATAGACAAATCCTCAATTTGTATACACGTAATATAAAGAATCAAATTTGCCGCATAAGCCCCAAAAGCCCCCACTGACTTTATACCGCCGAAAAATCTCAATCACAATAACTTATAATTGTCCACGTATATATATGTAAGTATATTATATATTTCATTACACCGTTTTATACTCCCCACCATGATCTCTCTCACTCTCTCACAATAACTTATAATTGTCCACATATATATATATATATATATATATATATATACATGCATGTATATTATATATTTCATTACACTGTTTTATACTCCCCACCATGATCTCTCTCTCTCTCTCTCTCTCGACTTTCCACCATTATATATAGCCAACTTATCCTTTCATTTTCCATCACCACAAACCCCTTTAGGCGTACGTATCTTTCTCGGTCCTTCTCTTACTTTGCTTTTCTTAACATTCGTTCTCAAAATGGAGAGAAATCAGTCGCGCAGGCAGATTGCCGTCACGAGGCAGTCCCTCTTTGATCAGGTTATTTTCTCTTTAGCTATAGCTCTTTTTCCTTTTTTCAAATTTGCCCTTTGTTTTCCTTTCTTAAACATTATCTTGAAATTAATACTCCCTCTTATACTAGTTAATGCATATGCTTAATAAAGCTATATATTATAATTAGCTCAATTTTTTTCTATCCGTGAGCTCAATGCATGCATGTAATTTAGCCAAAAATATGGAAAGAGAAATTCATATATCATGTAGAATGCATCTTGAGTTACAATCATTATGTTCGAGTTAAATTTTCCTGTATGCATGTTTATATGTACAAATATATGCAACTTATTATACAAAAATACTTAAATTAGTTAATAAGGCTAGCTTAATTTGTGAGTAAAATATCAAGCATGCATGATAAAACGCGAGCAGATCATGATCCGTCCAGCTTTACTTTTCAGGGGTTTCTTGACGAACAATTTGTCCAGTTGGAGGAGCTACAAGATGATGCTAATCCAAATTTTGTAGAGGAAATCGCTACATTGTATTACCGAGATTCATCTAGACTAATTAATAACCTGGAGCAGGCACTGTGAGTCCCCTAATTAAAAACCCAACATTAATTAAAAAGTTAATTATGTATATGTATATGTGTGTTATCATGAAGTTAAAACATGATATATATATATCATTCATCAGAGCTAGTAATTGTATACATCTACTAACTACTAAAGTCTTTGATCATGTGTATATGCAGAGAGAAAAGTCCTCTGGATTTTAACAAGTTAGACAACTATATGCATCAGTTGAAGGGAAGCAGCACAAGGTTATCATTATTATCATTATTATTATTATTATTATTATTATTATTATTATTATTATTATTATTATTATAAAACTTTTATCTAAATAAAGAGATAGGATTTGTATGTGTGTGTGTGTGTCCTTCTTTAGAAAGACTTTTATCTAAATAAAGAGATAGGATTTGTATGTGTGTGTGTGTGTCCTTCTTTAGAAAGACTTGATAGAAATGTATCATAAATTAGTATATTCGGTGTTGGGTTTAAAACGACAAACTTTAATCGGAAACCTTCTTTTTATTGGTTGCAGCATTGGAGCCAAAAAGGTGAAAGCTGAGTGCACTCAATTTAGGGAATATTGTAGGACAGGAAATGGAGAAGGGTAAATCAATCTCCCCACCTTCCTAACAATCTCTTCTTCATCACACACACACACACATATATATATATATGGATGGTTAACGAGATAAGGACTTGTATATATAGCTCTAAGATTGGTACAATTTTCTAAGAGATCAAATTTTATTTTTTTATCAAGTTCTAAAGAGCGAAGCTAAATAGGATCTTGTACAATGAAAATTCATATTTATTTGCCTAATATTATATGTTGCATGTACTACCAGTAGTATTATAATGAATGGAATTTTGCCACAACAACCATGCAGATGCGTGAGGACTTTCCAACAGCTGAAGAAAGAATACGGTCTTCTGAAAAGGAAGCTTGAAGCTTATTTTCAGGTGCTTATATTATATTTATTATATTATATTATATTATATTATATTATATTATATGTGTGTGTAAGTCATGAGTAAGAAGTATTTTTTCATAGCGTGTCTTTAATTTGGTCTTTTATTTATTCTTGTTTTTTCTTCATTCAGATGGTAAGACAAGCTGGGCCAAGTCAGGTTGCATGCCGCCCCAAGTAATGGGGTAACAAAATATTCAGCGGCACAAGAGGCTGCTAGTTTCCTTCTTTTTTTTTCCCCTTTTTCGTTTTGCTAATAATTAATAAACATAAATCTGCTTATAAGCAGAATTCTGAACCCTCAGTGAAATGGGTTTAGTTTCCAATGTAATCAGGATGTAGTTTAGGGTTAGTTTTTAAATCAAGCTATGTCATAATTAAGCTGTATGGTTGATTTTCATGAATGCAAAATGTAATGGAAGTATTCACTCTTTCCATAATATTAAAATGGACTTCATGAAGAAAACTATCTGCCCTAATATTATTGATAGTGGCATATATTAATTTCATGTAATTTGCCGAATTGCCTGGAAAATATGCTTTCACTTTTCTTTTTTATTTTTAATCCAAAAAAAAAAACCATTTTAACTGATGACGTACATTTAATTTTGACTCAACCAAAAAAAGTTCTTTCATAAATTCTTACCTGAATATATACTCCTCTCTCACTTTCATATACATTATACGGGCAAAATATTAAATATATATAATTATTAAGTTGTGGTTGCATATATACTACTACAATTAAAGAGTTTTTTTAGGGGACAACTTTTTTTTTTCATTGCTAAAAACAAATTTGCGGGCTGAAAGTCTTTGGTGACGACTTTTTTCGTTGCTAAGAGTTTGCTGCATAAAGTTTTTATGTAACGCCAAAACAGTGTACATTCAGCCATGAAAAATTAATCATATACGTAGAAAATTGGCCAACAGCACCATTAATTTCATCGCTAGAAATACCAAAAGCCACAACATAATTGGTCGCGAAAGGTTCTTCTTTTTTGCATAATAAACATTCACGAAAAAAGCAAATAAATATTTTATCTTACCCCCAGACAAAGCAAGCCAAACCCAAACTTCGAGTTTAAAAGCAACGAGTGAAGAAATAACCCAGCAAACTAAAGAGCAAAAATAGTTTTTTCAAGTGCCTTTCTCCGATGAGGCCTCCTGATAGAGTCAATTTATAACTGTTAAATTTAATCAAAAGCATATCAGGTTAAAAAAGTACGCAATATAAATATTTTTTTATATAAATATGAGCGACTGAAAATAAAACATTTTCGGTAATTTATTTTTTTTATGCATACTTAAAAAAATCTCATTTTCTATTGGCATAAAATTTAACATCATAATTCATAATCAACATGTTTTTGATGGCGACCATATTAAAGAGGATCTCTTTGCGGCTAGTCACGCCGATTATTTGCTAGCGGAAGTTGTGGGACTGATGCGATTAATAGATTAATGGTCGATTAGAGAGCAAATTACATTCAACAATAAAAGTATTACCGTAGTCCCACATCAACCACATGTAAGGGTTAAAAGCGTTTATTAATCTTAGCAACACCCTTCGGCTATTTTTTGGGTAGGCAAACCAATGTCATATTTAACACTATTTTTTTATAGCATGCTAAATCTCTAATAAAGTATGACATTATTATGCGCTAATATCAGATTTTAATATATGTGTAAGAATATCACTCCCCAATACAATATTAGTTTAAGTATTAAATCTAGCATATGTCATAACAATGTTACCAATGAACGTAAAAATGTACGAAAATGTGGAAAAAAAAAAAAAAAAAAACAATGAGGAACCATGGCACATTCATCATCACAAGCTCCCTATCAACATCGATTGAGAAAGAATGAGAAACCTGAACGGCATTGGAGTTAATAAACGACAATCAACTGTACAATAAAACGACGACGACGTAGAAAACACAATTACCTCAAACAACGACAACAATAAAAGGGCTGAGTAAAAACGACGACAAAGAGAGTGACCAGTGAAACAACAAGAAACAGAGAAACGACAATGACCTCAACCAACGAGAACAAACTAGAACCAACGATTAAGAAATGACAAATTGTCAAAAACGTCGAAAACGGCAATCGCCTCAACCAACGAGAACAAACTAACATAAACGACGTGGAAAAAACTGGAACCACAACAAATTGAGAAACGAAATGAAACACAACAAACAAAAGATGAAAACAAACGTGGAAACAACATCAATATGCACCTAAATACTAAGCGGCAATCCGTTTTTGGGGTGGGCTTCTCTTTTTATTTTTTCTTTTAGGTTTTTTTTTTTTCTCTCTTTTTTCTTCCTTATCTTTTCTTATTGCATCTTTTAACCTTTAATTTTTATATGTTTTTAAATATATCTCATTTAAATAATTTTCTTTTCTTATTAAATCTTTTAACCTTTAATTTTTATATGTTTTTAAATATATCTCATTTAAAAAATTTCTTACAGTTATCTAAAATGTTATTTTTTTTCCTAATTATCCTACTAAATTAATTTATTCATCCCTGTATAAATATTTTTTTGACTATGATCCTTATAAATTTTAGATTCAGTTGCATAGCATTTCGCACAAATTTCTTTCTATCTTTAAGTTTTTTTATCCTATCTTTTGATTTAGATTTTTTTCCACTTTTATCTTTATTTCTTTTATTTATTTATTTTTTCCTTAACGATTTATACAAATGTTATACACGCGGTTTTTTAGTAGTACAAGAAATCACAGCAATATATATAAACTACAATCGCCGTAAGGCACGACAACAAAATAGAAATGACAGTTGACAAGATATAAGGACAAAGGACAAAAACGACAAGAAAGTGGATTGCCAATGAAACGACAACAATTGGAAGATGCTATGAAATAACAAACGACAACAACGTAAGAATGACTAAAAAAAACGAAAAAAAAAAGTGGGCAAGATAACAAAAAGGAAAATTGATGATATTAAAACGGCAATCTCCTTAAAAAATGATAACCAAAACAAAAACGACAATCACCTCAAACAACATGGTAAAACGACAAAGATTGGAAAACAGCGACAATAATTAAACAAAACAAATTGAAAACGACATCAATAATACGTGGAGGTCTGGAGGATGGCAATTTGGTAAACGACAATCTTTTGGCAAACGACAATCACCTCAACTAAGGACAACAAACTGAAAACACAAGAGAATGATAAGAAACGACAGAGATTATAGTAAATAACGACGACAAAGATGCAACGACATAAACATCAACAAACGATTACAGCTTCAACCATGTGTGTCTATCGTGGTTGCTTATAAATTTAGAAGGGAAGAAAATATTATATTTCTGATTTTTAAGTTTTTTTGAAAGTAATATTTATCCTTCACAATAAAGGACGAACTTTTTTTTTTTTTTAAGGGAAACAATAAAGTGAAAGTTCTGTTATGGGAATAACCCATTGCTACGAGCTTTCAATTATGTTTTTAAATTTTATGGTGTAAAATGAGCAATGAGTTTTGATAAGTTTAAATGTTCATTTTTGGGTTCACATTCTATGAAATATCATATAAAGTGTTAACGTCCTCTCTGTTGGGAAAATCGGATATTTCCCACTCAAAAACAAGTTCACTATGAATAGTACTCTAAGAACAGTACAATACGCAGCCTACAAACCCGACAGATAGCTACTGAATACTAACAATTATAGAAAAATACCATAATGCAAAATTACTAAAGCAAGAATAAAAATAAAGAACACACCAGGATTTAGCGAGGTTCAGTAAATTGTCTACATCCTCAGGACACCACTGTAGTAGACCACTTCACTAATCTCAAAGAACAATTACAACTTTGGGGTACTTATGACCCACTACTAGGATATTCTTATTAAAGAACCTCCTTAAAGTTGAGTAAGAAGAGATGATTTTTGGATACTAAACAAAGGAGCAGAAAGAGCTTATTTATAGAAGCCAAAAGTCCTAAGCCCCCTTCATACAAAAACAATGTGAGACTTCCCACAAACAAGCTAAAACACAACACTTTCAAGGTAGGTATATAATCTAACTAAAAAAATAACGACGCTTATTTTTATTTTTTATTTAAAAAAAAAAAGAAGAAAAAACTCATGTTCCTTCAGTTTTAATGCCCGAAAGAACTACTAATTTCTAGGCTTAGAAGTCTTTAAAAAAAAAAAAAAGGCTTCATTAGATCCTTAACTTCATGTGAATTTTCTTCAACAATTCGGTTTCCTACAACAAGAGCAACACTTCCGATCTAAAAGCGAGTTTAAACTTGGACAAAATTCACAAACTTGAAAAGAAATGACAAAGTTCTTTATCCAAAACAAAGGTTTTAAGCTTGCATAATCGGGGAAAAGTTCAAAATTAAGGCCCCGTTCATTTCGCTGATTCGAGTTTAGAATTCGAGTTTTGTTACAGTAAAAGGCTCTTACAAACAATCACATCTAACTTTTTTGCTACAATAAAAAATTCTCACATAAAATCACATCTCAACTCGAATTAAAAACTCAAATCAGCGAATTAAACGGCCTTTTGGTTGCTTACATTATTGCGTGAAAATTTTTTGATGCATAGTGAGTTATTATTGTGAAAAGTTGCAGTTGCGACAGGATAAACAAGCAAAACAGAGGATCGCAACTCCTACTACTTCCACACAAGTAACACACATATATTCATAAGGGATTTCATCACCTTCATTCTCCCACCAAAAAAGCGAATATTGAGAGCTAAACGACATTAACGAGGCTGTTTATTGGAGAGAAACTGACCTACATATAAAGCCAATCACTTTCATGTCGTTTAATGTATAAGAAGAATTCCCACATCGTCCTCTACTTTATGCAACAGGGTATCTAATCCTACGATACTTTTTTCTTTCTTTTCTTTTTCTTTTTTTTTTCTTTTTTGAAATTTAAAGGTGGCGGTACTCAGTCGCTGATTTTTTTTTTTAAAAGGAAAACTGATCACTGGAACTCTATCCTATGGAATAAAAAGATGTAAAATTAATTCAGCTAAAAAAGTTAGATATAAAATTATCATTAAATTGCGCCTATAATTAAAATAAAATACTATTTTTTTTGTTGAATATAATAAAATACTTAGACCTCGTTCATTTCACTAATTTGAGTTTTCAGTTTTAAGTTTCTACAGTAAAAAGCTTTCAAAAAATATCACATCTAACTTTTTCTGCTACAGTAAAAAGCTCTCAGAAAATGTCACATCTCAGCTCGAATTGAAAACTCAAATCTGCGAAGTGAATGAGGCCTTAGGTCTTGTTTATTTCACCGATTCGAGTTTTTAATTTTAAATTTTTACAGTAAAAAGTTATCTGAAAATATCATATCTAACTTTTTCTGTTACAGTAAAAAGCTCTTAAAAAATGTCACATCTCAACTCGAATTAAAAACTCGAATCTGCAAAGTGAACGAGACCTTAATCATAATGTGTCTCTATTGATGACATTAGTTTCTACCGAAATTCATATTAAATTAAAAAAGTATATAAAATGGGCAGTTATTATATAAATTTGATGATTAAAAAAATCTATTTTTTTTAAGTAAAACATAGATTTTTCAATAGATCATTTTTAATAACCTTTGACAGGAACTCCCTGCTAATAAAAATGACATTCTATTAAAAAGAGATAGATTATATTTATTTCACATAAACTTAAATTGTGTGTATGAAAAAAAAATTATAATAAAAAAATTAAATTTAAATTTTTATAAAAAAAATACTATAACAATAAATTTTAGTTATGACTTCACTAGTGCAACTTGATCAAAAATATGCACACACCTAAGAAAAATTACATTAAGATCTAGTTTGGGAAAATTACATCAAAATTGCAGGGTCTGACAGTCGGTGACGTGGGAAACAAAATCCGAGATCTCACAAGAGTAGACAACACCGAGCTGGCCGAGGTTGCCGTCTTACTTCTCTCCGGTCACTCTTTCTTCCTACTTTCTTCTACCACCCTCCTCCTCTCAGTCTCAGTCTAAGACCTAGGGTTAGGGTTTGGATTTGGATTTCTTCTCTAACATTCCTCAATCCTAATTTCACTCTCGTCGCCATCGATCCCTCTCTTTCTCTCTCCTAGGTTTGTCTTTTTAACTTGATATTTTTCCTTTCCTTTTTGCTCCCAATTAAGCCCTTAATTTTTTATTGGATTGGATTAGATACTATATGAAATTTTTTATTTTTTTTGATTGCCATGTTTGATCTCCTCTGAAGCGTGGAATTAATCAATCTGAGGAAGTTTCAAGTTTGTGATTCAGTTTGAAGAAGTTTGTGCCTAGTATTCTCTCTCCTAGGGTTTGTTTGCTTTTCGCAATTACAAATTTTTCTTCTTTCTCCCTCTCCACTCCAACTCTCGGAGTGATTTAGCTCTTAGAGAGAGAAATTGGAAGGCTGGGAATTGATCGAGTAGTGTTGGCTTGGGTTTTGAGGATCGATTATGGCCTCGTACCGGCCGTTCGCGCCGCAATCGTCGTTCGGGCCGTCGCCGAATCAGAATCCTCTGGCCCCGCCGCCAAATCAGAATCCTCTGACCCCGCCTCCAAATCAGAATCCTCTGGCGCCGCCGCCGCCGCCGCCGTCGCAGCAGCAGCGGGGAAATCAGTACAACCAAAATTGGGGATTCAGTGGCGGGGGGGGGGGCGAACCAAAATTGGGGATTCAGTGGCGGTGAGGGCTCAGCTCCGTATAACAACAGTAGCTACGGGCCTTCTTCGTCTTCGTCCCAGCATTACGGCGGACCTCCCAGAAGTCAACACCCTCCTCCACCGCTTCCTCATCAGCAGTACTCTTATCCGCCGCCTCCTCCTCCGCCAGATTCTTCGTACCCGCCTCCACCGCCGCCACCAGCCCCCGCGATGCAGCAGCCTCCCGCATACTACCCGCCTTCCCAGTTTCCTCAGTACAACAATCCCCAGCCAATGCAGCCATTGCAGCAGCCCCCGCCACCTCCGCCACCACCTTCGTCTCCGCCTCCGCCTCCGAGCTCACCTCCGCCGCCTCCTCCTCCGCAGAGCCAGGGGAAGGAGAATGTTCACCATAGGGGATTGCAAGAGCGGGATAGAGGGGTTTCTAAGGAGGTCGCCGGGTCTGGGAGGCGAGAACACGGGTACTCGAATCACCACGGGACTCACCATAAACAGCATAAGTATCCTGTCCCCTCAGTGCCGGTGAAGAAATCAAATGGGCCTATGGGAAGAGTGGAGACGGAAGAAGAGAGGAGGTTGAGAAAGAAGAGGGAATTTGAGAAGCAAAAGCAAGAGGAGAAACATAGGCAGCATTTGAAGGAATCTCAGCACTCGGCTCTGCAGAAGACCCAGATTTTGTCTGCAGCCAAGGGGCACGGTTCTATTGCCGGATCAAGAATGGGGGAGAGGAGGGCTACTTCATTCTTGAGCGGTGAGAGGATTGAAAACAGGCTTAAGAAGCCAACGACATTTTTATGCAAGTTGAAGTGAGTATGTTGACATTGACTCAGTCTTTGTTATTACACTTTTTGTTTCCCATTGATCTCGATATTACTCCAATGAATTGAAAAATAAGTGAAATTGTGGACAAAGTAGGAGAATTATAGCTATAGACATTTGGAAATCATTCATATTTTGATAGAAAGTTTAGCAGATAGTAGCTTTGGGACGTATAGAGCACTTAACGTCCATGTACTGACATTTAACTTTTATGCTCTTTGAAGGTTCCGTAATGAACTTCCAGATCCAAGTGCACAACCGAAGCTCATGTCAATGAAGAGAGAGAAGGATCAGTATGTCATTCTCGTTTGTTTTTTAAGACTTTAATCTGTCTTGGACCTTTACCTCTGCGACGAAAATTTCTCTGGCTTGAGTTTTATTCACATTTTAAAGTCGTTGAATTCTGACCATATTCCATAATCTAATTTATTTTGTTCCATATCTCCTGTGGTAATTTTGAGATCCTTTTCTGCAGATATTCAAAGTATACAATCACATCGTTGGAAAAAACATACAAGCCAAAGCTTTTTGTTGAACCAGATCTTGGGATTCCTCTTAACCTACTCGACCTCAGTGTATACAAGTATCATTCTTGACAACTTTTGAGCTACTATGGTTTGGGCTTTTTTTGTGGGTTGGAAAATCTGAACTGTTTATAATTGGTTTGTTTAGTCCTCCCAGTGTTAGACCACCCCTCGACCCAGAGGATGAGGAGTTATTGCGTGACGATGAAGCTGTAACCCCTGTAAAGAAAGATGGCATTAAGAGAAAAGAAAGGCCTACTGATAAAGGAGTTGCATGGCTGGTTAAGACGCAATATATATCTCCTCTGAGTATGGAGTCAACAAAACAGGTAATAGATCAATACACAACTTTACAAAACCTAACTTCTTGAGAGAATGTTGTGAAAACTATGTTATGACCGAATCTTTTGGTATATGCAGTCTTTAACTGAAAAGCAAGCGAAAGAACTGCGAGAGCTGAAGGGAGGCCGCAACATTTTGGAGAACCTTAATGACAGGTTTGCTTGATCCCAACATGGCTATGTGAAATGTCAACAACGGCAAAATCCTTGATCTAATTCTTTTACTAAAATTTTCAGTTATTTTTCAGGGATAGACAAATCAAGGAAATTCAGGCATCTTTTGAGGCATGCAAGTCTCGCCCTGTTCATGCTACCAATAAGAGCTTGTATCCTGTTGAGGTTCTTCCTTTGTTACCTGATTTTGATCGGTATGGATTTTTTTTTGCGCTTGTCAAAATCGCTTGTGGGCAAAAAATCTAATTGGTATCTGCACTTATATTTTTATTTATTTTTTAAAAATTTTAAAGAAAAACACTGCTTTTTTTTTTTTGGTCAACGCCATTAGTTAGTTACTATGGAGAGCTTCAGACACATTTGCAATAATTCAACTGTTGCCTTGTATGCTACTCTTGTAGGTATGATGATCAATTCGTTCTTGCGGCATTTGATAGTGCTCCTACGGCTGATTCAGAAGTCTACAGCAAGATGGACCAGTCTATTCGTGATGCTCACGAATCACAGGTAATTTACCTGGTCTTCAGGCATGCATACAAGGAAATAAATATCCCGGATGTGATTATGTAAAAACATATAATTCACCAATATTGATGTATCTCATTACAAGAACTACGAGAATGACATATACAAGTCATTTTTGTCATGAAGGGAAAGTTTACTGGATGGAGCTTTTTCTTCTGACATAATTAACAAAGTTTTCTCAGAAAATTGTGTTCTTGTTATTCATGCCATGATTTCATATGCAGGCCGTCTTAAAAAGTTATAAGGTGACTGGCTCAGATCCGGGGAACCCGGAGAAATTTTTGGCTTATATGGTCCCTTCTCCAGATGAGGTATAGAGATATTCATGTCATCTTCTTGTATGAGACAACCAATCCTGTTGACATGAAGCAACTTATTTCTATTTTTTGTTGGTGGCAGCTATCAAAGGATATTTATGATGAACATGAAGATGTTTCATATTCATGGGTTCGTGAATATCATTGGGATGTACGTACCAGGCTCTGGACTGTTTAAAAAGCTAACCAACATGCAGGGTTTTTGATTGATTACTGACCTTTTTTTTTTGGACGTCTCAACAGGTACGAGGAGATGACGCAGATGACCCTACAACTTACCTGGTTTCGTTTGATGAAACAGAAGCACGCTACTTGGTATCCATTTGAACCAGACTTTATTTCCATTTTGTGTGTGCACGACAGTATCTCATTTTGGAGACTGGACATGAAAAACATGAAACTCATGCATATGAGGCCGGTGGGTTCTTATAAATTCCTTTTCTGTGCATGCAGCCGCTTCCTACGAAGCTTGTTTTAAGGAAAAAGAGGGCTAAAGAAGGAAGATCTGGCGATGAGGTGGAACATTTTCCAGTACCCGCAAGAGTGACCGTAAGGAGGAGACCTACTGTTTCTGTGGTAGAACTGAAGGATGCGGAGGTATGATTATGGGGCTTTTCGTGTGTGTGTGTGTGTGTATTTTGGTTGTGCTTTAATCATTAGTACAACAATGGCCATTATTCTTGATGCTTTAATATTATTTGACTTGATATGATGCTTTTAGGTTTATTCAAATCCGAGAGGAAGTCTTTCAAATTTTAAAAGAGGCGGCTCTGATGTTGAAGACGGTCTTGAGAGATCGCATAAGGTGGCGCGACAAGAAGACGTTGATGAGTATAGTGGTGCTGAAGATGATTTGTCTGTTTAATTTGCCGTCATAGAAGAAGTTTCGCAATTTTTGTAGCTTTTAGTAGGTGGTTTGGCACTTACGCTGCTCCAATGCTAAGTTATTAAGCCAGAGTGATAAAAATTCCATACTCTGATTTCATTACCATATTGCTGTGTACCTTATATATAGTTTTACTTTCTAACTTTTAGGGGGGTTTATTCGTTGTAGATTTTTTTATCAATACCATTAAGTAACACATGTACAAAAAGATTGGACATGATAAAGAAGTCTTCCACCGCAAGCAACTTTTTTTTTGGCTAAATTCCATATCAAGTAGTTGAAAGAATTCAATTGTAATACTTTTTTTTTTCAAAAAGGAAAAATAAATAAATTCCGTTTGTTGCTTTATCTTTGGTCAGCATTGTGAAGACAAGCGTATGGCATGTCGGCCTGAAGACAAGCGTATGTGCAAAATTGCTACTGATTTTAAAATGTTGCAAAAGTGATAGAACTAGCCAAATTCAAACTGATAATGATGTTTTATCCTAATTGCCTACCAACACAACGACAAATATATTCCTTAAAATAAGGAAATAGAAACATTCCATTAAATGATAATATTGTTTTTAATAGCGTCATTATTATTAAATAAAAAGGGCATATATGATACGACTCTCCCACTGATGTTGCATTTGAGCACTTAAAAGGATCGTGAGATTACCGACCAAGAATGAAATCAACCATCACTCAGAATTTTAATTCAACTATAAACAAATAATTTGCAGAGAAAGAGAGAAGCTAGAAACAAAATTTCAGAGCACTTAGTGTTGATGAACATATATACAATGCTAGATAATCACAAACAAGATATGAATCTTGTATACTCTGCGGGAAGCTCTATCATCCTTGTAAAAATGAATGCTCTTCTATAGTCTATACTCATGCAATTGACGCCCTGTTAAATATCCAAGCAAAACAAGAACCTGTTAAATGGTGAACTGTAACCAACCAAAACAAAAATTAAAACCAAGACAACAGCGACTCTACTTAAAGGTACCCAGAGCACTGACCACGCTTGCTGACATCTGACAGCTTCCTGACGAACAGCCCTCTTCGGATCGTCAAGTGCCTTTGACATAGCTTGTAATACCTGAACAAGTAGTCATTATTATAAGAAAAATGATAAATCATTATGTTTAAGCATTAAGGTTACTATGCCAAAGGCATTATCATATTTGTATCGGCAATCATAGTGTACACAACAACCTCTTGAGATAAAACTCTACTAACCTTTGTTCTCATGGGGTAGATTCTTGTGTGGGGCAACTTAGACATGGCAACAAGACATTGAATTGTTGTCTCTCGAACAAGCTGAATGAGTTGAACAGATACAAAAATGCAGAGTTGAATCACGAATTTTATAAAGTGATGTGATTTAAAATCCATGACCCTACTAGTACAAACTATTTGAGAAAATTTAACAGCAGAACTTGAAGCATACGTCAGAAACAGAATAAACTCCTTAGTAAGAAAGACATCATACCATCATATGAGGGTAAGCAATCAGTCCAATTAGGCAGTTGATAACAGAATGTGCATTCTCTATGACAGCTTCCTCTCCTGCATGGACATGCCAAAAGCGAGTACATTTAGTCATGAGCCACGTTTCATATAGACCAGATGCATGTGCTAGTTTTGTTTTTCCCCTGAGTCTATATGTGTATACTGAAACGACAAATATCTTGCAACAATTCAATTTCATGTTTATAGTTCAGCCAAAATATCTGATGCACGGGCATTCTCGTCTTCTGAGATGTTGCTTTGCATTTTCTTTGTTGTAGGTGTTTTGTTTTGCATTTTGGAATTAGATTCCCTCCTTCACCTGAGATTTCCATCTCAGGTTTATCTGGACTCCTTTGTCCCTACGTCAAACTCTTACATGATTTCAGGTATTTAATCCATCGTACCAACTAAATCGAAGAGAAAAGGCAGTCCGTTCCTTTAAAGATCCAAACCAGGCCAAATTATTAAGCAGATGGTCCTAGGTACAGAAACCTTAAAATTATTTAGAAAAGGTCCAGTTTTTTCTCCAGGTGCAACCTCCAACGGAACGAAACCATTTCTCTATTCTGTTATAGAATGTTAAATACTACAAGGACTAAGGGCATGTTATAGTAAGCAAATTTCGTGGCATCTATGTTTACTTACTGCAATAAGACAAACGTAAACATACAAGTGCACCATAAAAAGCATGTAGGCATGCAAATACATTTTAAACTTACCCTTTTTATCAGTCAATATTGCAGATAAGACTAGCAAAAGACTGTAGAGCTGGTCCTTATCTAGAATATCCTCACTTAAAATAGATAATCCCTCCAGCAGTAATGATATTAGCTGCAAGAGTTATGTAGTATTTTATTGTGTAAAGTTGTTGATCATATACAAAAAATCGCGGCATATATAAGCTTAAGTTTCCTTGCCACCAACCTTCTTAGCTTCACTCACGACAACTATTAGAGGAGCATCTGCGATGATATGCACAGAGGCCCGATACAGCATAGATCTGTTTAAAAGCAGCACTTTTAGTATGTAAAATCAGAAGATTGCTTTCAGATAGGACTTTAAAGCTTAAATTGGTTGACACGAGATTATTCAAGGTGCTAGCTTCAAGCCATCATTCAAAGTCAACAACGTTAAGATACAGAACTAAGTTCTTTAATCTTGTACTTCAAATAGCTAATTACTACGGAAATCTATTTGAGGCCAAATGTTTGCATGTGATTTATGTGCCAATTTAAGCACCTCTATCTCATAGAACATAGGCAAAACTTTTGTTATAAATGGGTACAAATGAGAGCATGCTCTGACGAAGTAATTTTTTCTCATGGGAAAGTAATCTCATCACTATGAAATCATGTCATGTCAATTTGGGAACGTATGGATAAATTCAAAAATTCCACTGTAATTAGTAGTACAGATTAAGAAGTGTGTGTACCTTGAAAAGGATGGATCAAAATTCTTTAGTAAAGACTGCAAAAGAGGCATCACTACTGAGAAAAGATGCTGCTTATAGAGTGGACGTATTATCGCATGAAATATTTTATTCAAACAAACTCCAGAATCACTCATAAGAATATGAAAGGCATCTGCAGCACTTCTTCTTACAGAGGGATGGAAATCTTGCTCAAGAATGTTTTCGAACGAATCCTGCTTCAACTTTGCAGCACGAGTACTGCTGTCTGGCATTAAGCACTCCAAAAGAGTCATGATTACATCTTTTACTTTTTCATGACCACGCAGAAGTAAACCTTTCCCAATCCATGCTAGTCCAACTATGGCATGGACTTGAAGCTGTATATTGTTCATGAGACCAAGGCATAAATCCTTAAGACCCATTCCATTGCCATTCCTCTGTAAGACTTCATTGTCACGAAAAAACCATGATTTTGTTTTGAAAATTATATCCATTGCATCTTCCAAAGTGGACTCCCTTGAGATCTCAGTGCTCTTGGCTTTCGTATCAAATTTGTTGATCATAGAACCCAAAGCCTGAGCTGAAGGAACATGTCCCCTGAGGAGGGTTGTCAGAAATAAATAAAGTATTTCCTTCATGTTTGGAATTTCTGTTCTTGGCCGAACTGCGATAATTACTGAAGCAAATAATGATAGAACCAATTCATCTCTGTGGGAGATATTGTCTACATGCTGAATAAGTTGTGACTCTTCAAGTTGGACAGGAATGGAAGTCAACGAGGATTTCTTCAATAGAAGAGATGTATTTGAAGAAAGTACAGTATAGGCCTTCTGGAGTATGATGTACTGGATTTCTTCTGAACAACTCCCAACAGTAAGCTTCATTGCCATCATTATTGCATCCAAAAGCCCCTAGAGCAAAAACAAATACACCTTTACCACTTCTTGGAGTAGATTTAACACTTTTTAATTAATAATCAAACCAGGTAAAGAAGCAGAAGTGAAACCAAAGATGCTTTTAATAACACCAACAACAAACGAAAAAAGAAAGTAGCAGGTCTACACACTTTTTCCTGAACCTCAACATTGCAAGATATCCAACTTTCCACGTGGTCCCAAATGTTAGTAGCAAAGCGCAACAGGATTTCTTCAAGACCTTCAGTTTCATGGATCCTGGGTTCATTAAGACAAAGGTTTTAATTAACAGAAGAACAATCTAATAATACTACTGCAAATCTACCATATAATATGTTTGGAAAATATGATGAGAAAACAGAGAAATTAAAGCTGAAGTGAGGTTAATTTTCGGTTCTGGTGGTAGCATTTAGCTTTAAGAGAGGGAGGTCGAGCAAATATCTTGGAATGTTAGAATTCATACCACGGAATAACCTTTTCAGAATAGAATTGCAGAAGTTGAATTGCTACTTCGGCAGAGCTCACATTTCCATGTACCTAAACAAACAGATTACAAATTGAAACAGCAATCAGGGTCTTTTCCTAAAAAATATGTTTGAAGAAAAAAATGAAATATCCTCAGTTCTTTAGACGTCAGGCGTCATCAGGCATAACTATTTCCCTTGGATGTCAAAAGAGAATATCCAATAACATAATCACATCTTTTCTCATACATTAATCAAACCAATGGATGTCCAAAGAACCAAAATATCAACTTCTTGACTGAAGACATTCCGAACGTCTCAAAAGAACAGTGTTTGCAGTCTATCAAACAAGAAGTCATAAGATGATTTACGTACATAAAAATCAGATACGTAAGAAAATATAGCGCCTTCCAACCCTTGAACAATATTCAGCATATGATTTCGCCCACTTGCACCAATTTCAGAGACTGCTTCCAGTTTGAGTGGAAAAGGTAAGGTACAATTATCAACAGAAACCCAGGAAACCATCTTTTCAACAACTATAGAATTGTAGCTCTGTGCCTTCTCAGACTCATATCTACTAACGAAAGAGCCAATATGAACTAATGCCTTCAAGGCGAGCTTCCATAAAAATTTCTGGTTGAAATCTTTGAAGATGATTGACATGAGTGTTGTTAAAATATTCTTGAATACATTATCCGATATTGCTAAAAGATCTTCAGGAAATGTGGCCAAGATCTGCAAGCTCCTCACTGCAATATAATGCTATTAAAATTTACACGCTGGTTACTAAATTATAGTATGAACAGCAACTTGAAATGAATGGGAAAAAATCAAAAGAAATAGCATGTAGGATTTAATACTTGAAAATGGATTCCAGTTTGCATCTCTCACAACATCGCATACGAAAAATCATTTGGAAAAAATAAATGCCAATTTGAAACTTAAATAACTTGTGCTTCCGAGGAACCGTCCTTAAAAAAATGCCAATTTTCTTCAATCCCTCCGGAGGGACCGTCCTTCCAACGTAACATGTAGTTATGAAAATGTAACATGACAATTATTAAACGTAACATCGACATTGGAGAGAAGCAACATAGCCTATAGATGACTAAATTCTTTAGTGTCACTTCTCTCTAACATTGTTGTTACATAAATAATTGTAATGTTACGTTTTCATAACTATGCGTTATGTTGGATGGGCCTCCCGCCGGAGAATCCGAAGAAAAGCAGTAATTTATAAACTCTCCGTAACAGATTATAAGAAGGTATTGCAGGAAAAAAATTCAAAACTGCCCCAATATATGATCCTAAAACGCATGTTCCTGTTTTCACTAAAACATGAAATTATGGGTATTGACGTACAGATGATTATTAGAGTGGAAGTACAACTATGCATAATTTTCAGAAACTAAGCACGCATTATTTCATGCTACAGTTTCTAAAACTAGTGTAGGGCAAAGAAAAAGTTATTACGTAACGAACATTGACTTGTCTAAACAGTTAAAATATCTTAACAAAACTAGAGTATTTACCTCGGAGGTAAATATCCACATCATCAGCACCTTCATTAGCAGTTGTTTCAAGGATAGAACAGAGGGCATCAATTAGAGAAACACAAAAACTCTGAAGGATGCAACAAAATGTCTCATGAGCTGGAATAGAGTTTGACGCAAGCTCCCTAGAGTATATAACCAAATCTCTGCACGCTGCAAGGAGTTCCATACAGAGATATAGGGCTCCAAAATTTAGAAACCAATCCCTGGATGAACTTCTAATGGAAAGCTGTAAGATATCCACCAAAGGGCGAAAGAACGTTTCAAGCACTCTATTACAGGAAGCAATAGAAGTCTTTGTGGTAATATATAGAATGCGACCAACCACATGTAACCTCTGTTTGCCTTGCAAAGGAATATCCTTATAACGCCCATAACTTGTCATGGTGTTAAAAACAGTACTTATATCTTCATCATCCACAATCATACTTAAAAGTAAATTGTTATTTTGCATGACAACTGTTTCCAACAGCACTAGAGCTTCAGATACAACTTCATTCTCCTGAAAGCCAAGACCATCTATCGATTCTGAGTAAAAAGATTCAGTAGGCTCCTTCAATGAAGTGCTTATTGCGTTTTTTATAGAACTCCAAAGAATTCCTGCATGTCTTGCCATCCTGTCTGCTCCATACTTTATTGAGCAATAGCTTAAATATTTCAAAGAATCAATCTGCCAACAAAAAAAAAAAAAAAATCAGCACAAAAAATTATGGTGTACTTTCTGTGACATAAAAGTGAATGCCATTGCTCTCATAACCATCCGGAGATGTTTCAAATGGCACCAACCTTTGCTGATGACAGAGAAGAAGAGAGTTTTTCAAGAAGCAAGGGAATGACAAATGGCTCCAAAAGAGGTGTTGATGAGAATGCTATCTGCAGAAAAATTAAACTGTACTGTTCAATTTGGTTGCAAATGTAAATATTGTACATCAAACATTACATAAACTATGAAAGTCACGTGCTAAATTAAAAAGATGCCAATGACAAGTGTAACAACCGTTGGTTGCCTTGCAGCCTTTTTTTACAGGATCAGATCTCTAGGGAAAAAAAACAAAAGAAAAAAATCATCTTGTTCACGCACCAAAAGAAATTACTCATCAATTCAAAATATTCATGAGCCCTCTTATTTTCAACCATGCACTGTGCAATTGGTCTTCTATCTTGTTAATTTTTTCATGAGTTTGCCCATTCCAAGCAAAATCTTAATTGTCTCTAAGCCAGTCCCGGTGCCATAGTAGGGGTACTAAAGACTACCATGGGCATACATACACAGTAAAATCTCTTATGCAAACATGAAATGGCTAAAATAGAACCAAGTAAAGTTCACTCAGACGAGTGACTTAGACTGCACTTGTATGAGGAGGGATAACAAAAAATTCAAGCAGAAGGCAGAAAAAAAGAAGCAAGAAAGTCAGGAGACAGACGGAGGAGTAACAAACATATCTCATATTACTTATCATGATCCTTGGAGTATTCTTTTGGTGGAGTGGAATGGTATAAATAATTGTTTAAACATTTATCCTTGAAAATGATTTTAATTTGAATTAATGTGCAGTTTTTCCACCTTCAAATAGATCATGGGCATATTATTAATATTTAGTTACACCAGAGACTTTCCTGTCATGTTTCTATGAGACCATGACAATCATGCATTTCATAAAATTGTTAATATTTACAGTTTGAATGATTAACGTACCAGAAAGATATAGCACACATAAATCACGAACTACAAAACACTGTAAAATGCACACAAATTTCAATTACTGCATACCATTAGGGCCCTTGACAGGTCATCTCTTTTCACATCAACGTCCTCTACCTTATGCTGGATAACATTAAGAATGAAAACCGCAAATCACATACGATTTATATAAAAAGAAATAAGTAAAATAAGAATGAGTAAAGAATAACACATGGAAAACTAATTTACTGATCAAGGTACCTAGATGGTAAGCAAGGAGTGAAAGAAAATAAAAGAAAATGCATCAAACGTGATATGCTTTTGATGTATAATGTCACTAAAATTGATCAGGAATTGTTCTTTATTTTTTTTAACAAAAAAAGGTTCTATAGCTTTTTCTGTATGCCACAAAAGGCAAAAGCTTAAGGATAGATCTCGGGTAGTTTATTTGGTTAGTTATTTAGCTGAGATACAATTAGTTAGAGTTAATGAGCAGTTAGTGAAGGGGATTGTGCTGTTATAATGAACTGATACGTTGTGCAGGTTACTTAAAGGGATTAAGGGAGTATAAATAGGGGAAAATCAGTTAGAGAGATAGGGAATTCGTGGGAACCATTTCAGCTTAGTAAGGGAGCAAGATGAAGTGCAATCCTATCAACACCTGTATCATACATATTTCTCATATCATACAAGAATTACTTTCTTCCCGTTCTTTTCCTCTCTTTTCTTCTGTTATCCTCCTGTGATTCTCAGAACAAGCTGGCGTCCTATCACTTGGGCCTACGATTTTGTAAACAAGCATGCCAAAAAAGACGGGAAAAAAGAGAAAGAAAATTACAGGGCAAAAGAAGTTGAGATAAAAAATTCCTTACATGAGTAAAATGTATGGGAAAGTAACAGCCCAAAACTTCAAAAAGATCTCTAGGAAAACTTGCAAGTGACCCAGATGGGTTTGGAAATAGTCCAACCAAAGCCGGAATAATGTGAAATACTAGCATCAAGCAATGAGGATCCTTCTCTCCATCCACGGATTCGCAGACTGAATATATGATGTCTTCACCCTTGCCAACACCAAGAAAATTGGTTAACTTGAATGAAGGGGCAAAAAAGGATAGGATAAAAGTCCAAAAGAACCAAAAACTATGAGAACTTCCTTGTTCTATGAGAAACCTATACGGGCATGTCTCATCAGACAGAAGAGAGCACAAGACTAAGTTATATGTAAAAGTCATGATGTTGCGGGAACAGAAAAATTTAGCTGGACAAAGTGAGTGAATAGTTCATAACTTGCAATGATATCCACATTCTGGTGTCCAACCGGTTAAAAAAAAAAAAAAAAAAAAAAAAAAAAAAAAAGAAAAAGAGGGGGGGAGAGAGAGAGAGAAGAAGAAGAAGAAGAAGGTAGAACATATAATTTGGATGGCAAGCTTGGAAGTAGTACCAGTGAAGCGACCTCATTGGGATAGGTTACTAAAAGGCACTCCAGAAGTTCAAAGCAAAGCTGCAAGAACATTTTGATGTTTAACTTAGAAGAATAAGATTTTGTGAAAAGACAACAGGTAAGATAAAAGCACGTCATTTTTTTTCTCAAATTTGAATTTATGGTTGCACACTCCTACCTTCCTATCATGCTGACCTAAAGATTGCACCTGGAGGTTCTTTACGTAAGACAGAGCAACTGCTTTTGCATCAGTGGCAGGCACCATACCAGCAAAAAAAAAAAAAAAAAAAAAAAAAAAAAAGAAAGAAGAAGAGAGAGAGAGAGAGAGAAGAAGAAGAAGAAGAAGGTAGAACATATAATTTGGATGGCAAGCTTGGAAGTAGTACCAGTGAAGCGACCTCATTGGGATAGGTTACTAAAAGGCACTCCAGAAGTTCAAAGCAAAGCTGCAAGAACATTTTGATGTTTAACTTAGAAGAATAAGATTTTGTGAAAAGACAACAGGTAAGATAAAAGAGAGAGAGAGAGAAGAAGAAGAAGAAGAAGGTAGAACATATAATTTGGATGGCAAGCTTGGAAGTAGTACCAGTGAAGCGACCTCATTGGGATAGGTTACTAAAAGGCACTCCAGAAGTTCAAAGCAAAGCTGCAAGAACATTTTGATGTTTAACTTAGAAGAATAAGATTTTGTGAAAAGACAACAGGTAAGATAAAAGCACGTCATTTTTTTTCTCAAATTTGAATTTATGGTTGCACACTCCTACCTTCCTATCATGCTGACCTAAAGATTGCACCTGGAGGTTCTTTACGTAAGACAGAGCAACTGCTTTTGCATCAGTGGCAGGCACCATACCAGCATCACTTTTTCTCCTCAGCAATGCCAAGCAACCAACGAGAGCCCCACGTAAAGTTCTCCAATCTACCTGATATCAGCGAATAATTGTCTATTATACTATGGGAATCACAAAGTAGTACATGAGAACATTTAGAAACCGTAAAAGTGGAATAACAAACGTTAAGAGTCCAATCAAATTAAAGCGATGGGGTGCTTTGCCATCACATCATTAAAGTCACGGTAAAAAAATAGTAATAACTTTTCAATATAATAAGATTTCATAAAAACGGGTTTTTTTTTATAAGAAAAAACTTTAGTGATGATATAATCAATTACAAAATTCATAGAAACAGTTATCAGGTATCAGTTGTAGGAAACCTAAGCACCACAATACAACTTTTTTAACTTACAAATTGCTCAAATTAAGAAAATATATGAATGTGACATTTTAATACAGCCAGACTATACCAATGAAATTGAACACTGTATTCTTGTTTTTACATTTATACAGATATTAAAAAAGTATGTTCATAATTTATCAAAGAAAAAAGAAAATATAAGGAAAATAAGATATCATGCAAAGACAGAATTAAAATCAAAGAGGAAGATTGAACACGCCCAGACCAAAAGAACACCATTAAAACACATCAAAAGACCAATAAAAGGTGCATAGGTATGTGTGTGTTGTGGAGGGGACAGAAGGTCAACTCACCAGCCTATCTGCGAAGAAATCAATTAAGCTATGAATTGTGACATTGTCGAGTGGCTTTAATGAAAGATTTGTAAGCAATTCCGCAAGAAGAAGAATACCTGAAGATGGATACCATCATGAACTTTTAAAGATTTTTCTTTTTAATTATGATTTATAGTTAAGGAGAATGGGAAAAAGTGAAAATACAACTGTCTGGACTTTAGAACGTCTTTTCTAATTTCTATTACGAACGGGAAAAAAGAAACACCCAAATGTACTACTTTAGCACATGGGAAAATATAAGAATATCAAATACCAAACTCCACTTACACCAATATCAAATTGCTCTAAAAATGTAGAGAACTCAAATTCAAGATACCTCTTGCACGGATGACATGATCTGTGGTGGTCAGATACATGTCCATCTCTCTGACCTACATGTAAGGGTTACAGATATAAGCAGCAAAAATAGTTTCAATCAACCTAAAAAGGAAGAAATTTTAAATACCAGTTTTTCAATAGTTACTAAGCCATTCTTTACAAGAGAAATGATAGAATCCAAGCTTGCCGCCTGCAGTCACACACGTTAAACAGACTTAAGCATCATTATCCAGGGGCAAAACATAAACTGCGCGACATAAGTTGCGAAATGCTAAATTGAATCAACAAGCTGTTATCGTTACTTGTAAAAGCTTCAACCTCAAATAAAATAATCCTAAAACTAAACTTAAAAATGCAAACAATTAAAAGAAAATGCTTTGCATCGAATTTGTTCTCTACAAATATGATTCAGCTTGTTTCAGCGGGAAATTTCTTTAAAAAAAAAATCACTTCATACTGATTTACACTCTTTTTCCAATACTTATGGGTATAGATAAAAGTGCATTTTACATGGCATATATGAATTATGATCACTATTTAATATCGGAGAAAACTGTAATTCTAATTGGAAAAGCAAAAACTTTTAATTCATAGAATAGAAGCAAAGAATTTATATCAATTTTCTTACAGCATTTAGTTTTCCGAATGACAAAAGAAAAGCGAAATGTTAAAACCTCTACATAATTAAACAATTTATTACATTCCATTTGCTAGAGCAGAGTCCTAGGTCCCAATTAACCAGAAGAATCACATATTAACTAGAGCTAGGGCTTTTTTCACTTCCGCAACAAAGAAACACCGAATAATCAGGGAAAATACCTACAGTATTATAAATGAACGAACTTCACTTCAAATTGGTGATAAAATTTCACAAAAAGAGAAACGGAGCACGAACCTGTTCGTTTAGAGAGCGAGTCGTGTCGACGTATGACTCAATATGCCGAGTCAACACGCTCGGTTCCGCCATTGTTGGCGAGCAGAGAGATTGTAGGGTTTTGTGGAGCCTTATGAACTGAGAGGTTTATAAGTCGGAAACAGGTTTTTCTGATTTTGGAGCAGAGCGTGCTTTAAAGAAACTGTTATTTGCCTCTGGAACCCTATCATTCCAGTTATTTTCTTTTGACTCACCGGAACTTTTGTGAGAGAAAAGAAATTTTTGAATTTAATGGCTTCTTTATTTTTATTTTTTTGAGTTAAGGTGACATAAGTTTAGATTTTGATTTAAGTTAAAGTGTATTTGAGTCTAGTCTTAATTGAGGATTTATTTAGTATGAGGGTTCAAAATTCAAATCAAGGTAATTTTAATTTTGATTTTGGAACCAGAACATGATTCATGATTTTGGATCCAAATCATTATTCTGAAACTAGAATCAGAATCAAGGGTTTGAACTACCCTAAACGAAGTGGGTGGGTGGTTTTAGAATCAGAAGTGATTCATAGTTTAAAACACCACATCATGATCAAACCGTGAATCAGAACCATGCAAACTAAACACTAATTATGGATGAGTCAAATCATAACCAATTTTTACTTTTTGTAAACAAATATTAGTTTGGACCCAGAATCATGATTCTGGGTTCAAAATTCTTATACCAAACAGTCACTAAGTTTGTGTTTGGATGAGCACATTTTGAGGTATGGTTTGAATTGAGAATCTATTTGAGTTTGTGTTTGGGTGGGTCAAAACTTGAATTTGTATTTGAATAGTATTTTAATAATAACTCAGTGGTGATGGAAATTTTAATATGGTATATAAATGTGGTTTTATTCGTATTTTCATTGTGTACACAGAAAAAAAAATCACCTCAAACGGAATTAAAACGAAAAAAATATGGTGTTTTTAATAATAGAAAAAATAGTGTTCATTAATTTGAGTTTGAGTTTAAGAACTTGAGTTGAAGAGGAAATTTGAACTCAGATTTTAGCCCCAAACTCAAATTAAAACTCAAGTTCAAACTCAAATTTTACAAAAGAATGTAAATTTGAATAAAGTTATAACTTGAGTTCAAAATTTTTTCCAGTTTGGGTGCAAATGAACAATGGTTCAAGTATAGCAACTAAATGGGTCATGGGCTTTAAAGGGAATTGTTGTAAGTTTTAGGCTTAAATTAACATATGTCAGTGGACATAATTATTGTAGAAAATACTATAGTCATGTCATCATACTTAGGAGTGTTCACGGATTGGAATTCGCAGATTAGATGTCAATCCGTATCCAATCCAAAACTTTGGATTGAGATTTTTTCAATCTGTGTCCGATTCAAAACCTTTTTAGATTTTACGAATTAGATTCACAAATTCCACAAATTACAACTTTTAAAATCATAAATTAATAATCCATATAAAATAAAACACAACATGAAATCTTCGTCATTTATCACAACTCAAAGTTTGCAACATCCATAACTCAAATAAACATAGCATAAATATGACATAAAGTTGTTCGACTAAGTCTAAATTGTTACAATCCAATTAACGATGACCAACCAACCAAGTCTGAGTTTTTTAATTTTTTTTAAAAAATAAAAAACTAAACTGAAAAATATTATATACATATATACATTTAAATTATATATTTAGGTTCAGATTCGCAGATTTTACAGATTGAAAAGTGTTTAATCCGCAATCAGATCTAAAACCTTCGGATTGAAAAAATCTCAATCCTTGTCTAATCCAAAACTCTTTTCAATCCAATCCAAAATGTTTGATTTCACAGATCAATCGGATTGACGGATTCCGTGAATACATTCACACTATATTTAGAATACTAAATATACCCTTAGGATATCAATAGGTCTATGACCACGATACCAGTATCCGGCCAAGATACCGGTCATATGTTGGGAATAGTGTCCTAAAAGCATGAGATGTAAAATGATATTTACTATTTATTTAATAAAAGAGTTTATTCATCATTTTATGTGCATATATTTATGAATATTTTATGAATATCAAATAAAATTCCTTGATTATTTATGTAACCTTAAACATGGTATATAAGTATTGTATACGAGAGGATAATGTTTAAGGATAATAATCAAAAGTAATTGATCATAATGAATTTAATTAAAGTTCAGAATCTTTAATTAAAACATTATTAATACATGGCATTCCCATTTAGAATGGAACGGTGTTATCCGCACTGTTAATATGGCGAGATATTGAATGAGTGTATTTCGCATAATGAGATTATGTGGAACATGGACGCAGACACAATATGAATTTCTAATAATTTCCGTTAAGCATAGAAATTCTAATTGAGTCTACCGATGGTCATATATAGGATGATCTTAATCCTGAGTTCTTAACAAACTCCTATTTATGGATTTATGTCTTTTGATTTACTCGGTACGGATTCCGAGACCCTGAATCCTATTCCTTGTATTTTGGAGACATGATGAAATAGGTAGCTGGGAATGTTATTATACGAGATGGAATCCATTCCTTCTTGAGAAAGAAGTAGATAAATAATTCTCTTGAGTGTTGATTCGGTACTTGGATTAGTAAGAGCGCTCTGGTTCATGAATGTGTTTTATGAATCACTATCCATTAGAGAATCAATGGTACTCAAGGATAAAGATGTAATTAGAGAGGTTAACGGATTCTACCTGACTCTAATTATGAATTATTTATGGAGGATTGATCTATATGTAATGACTATATCAAATGGACACTTCGCAGTTTAAAAGTAATTAATGTCTATAATTTCGAGAGTTCAATTCCAAGTTTATAGTGGAGTAACTATTGGAATTAATAGAATTAATTAATTAAATAAAGTGTTTAATTAATTATTAATTTTATTGGAGCTCGGGATTATAGGTCCATATGTCCCCGCGTCGTCCTTGTAATTCTACCAGACACAAAGGGCAAAATGGGAATTTTGGAATTACGGAATTCTAAAATTAAATACTCGAAAAATAATTAATTGAGAATTAATTATTATTTAAATAATGTGATTATTTAAATTTGAATTTGAACATATCTAGATTTATCCATTTAAACTTATTTGATAAGTTGTTCAATTTAGAATTCAAATTAATTTAAGTTTGACTTAAATTCGAATTTGAATATGAATTAAAATTAGACTACTGAATAAAGGATAAAATCTCTTCCTTCCCTATCTGAGATAGGCGCCACACACAGGGATAAAACCCTAGAGTGTGGCCGGCCACCAAGTGGATGAGGGGAAGGGATTTTTTGTTTAAAATTCAAAATTGGAGATAAGGATTTGATTCTATTTTGAAGTTTGACTTCTTCTCTTTAAATATGAGAGAGATAGAAAATTGTAGAGACAATTTTTAACAATTTTTCAGCCCTAGTTTTTTAGTGTGGCCGAAATTCTCATAGAGGAAAAGAGAGCAAAATATTTTTCTCTAAAAAATTTCACATCGTGCATGCGTTGGTGTTTGTGGAAATTTGAGTGTTTAAGAAACATGTTTTGTCTCACGTGTGCCCACACACACGTCTACATGGAATCAAGGAATTGACATGGAAGACTTTGGTATTCTAAACACAAAGCTTGGAGCAAGGACTGTTCGTGGTCAAAGAAATTCAAGTTATCATCCGAGTCGGCTTCCAGGTATTTTTTCGGTTGATTCTTGAATCATGTAAATTAATATGATTAATTTGTTCGTGCATAAATTAATATAATCTATAGAGTATCTCAAAAGTTTTATGAAAATTTTTGTTATACACGATCCGTTGTTTTCCTACCACGCTTCCGCACCCGAATTCGATTCGGAAACCAGCATCATAGAGATAGGAGTCTTATCCATAGGTACTCGCCCCCAATAAGACGGGTCTGGGGATACTATATGGGGGTGGGGTGAGTATGGGGTTAGAATTAATCCCTGAATCGCGTATGAGGTGGGGGTGGGGGAAGCTCCTCATATCCGCCCCGACCCAATTATATGTACTTTCATTTTATATAGTATACTTTAAAAAATCCTAAAATTTGTGTTTAATAATGTGACGACCCTCCTTGGAAGCCACCACTGTAGCTGAATTTTAACTTGTACTTACTGGAATTTCTTAAAATTTGCGAAACATTTTTTTTTTATAAGAAGGAATAATTTCATAAATCGTAACAATAATTTTGAAAAATGAATCACTAAGTTTCTTAAAGCTTTTCTTAATTTCAACTAAGATAAAACCTTCTAAAAAATATTTTTCAAACTGAGTGGCATTTGAACTCTTGTTTCAAATATTCTTTAAAAGCCTTTCTAAAACTAGCCAATATAATCGGGCCATCTAATTTGACTTTAAAACGAATTTCATGAGAAATCTTAAATTCAAGTACTTCTTAAAGTCCTTTCAAAATCAATCCTTTAAACTGCCGCATTTAAAGTTCATTTATTTGTTGCATGCATTGTTGCAACGTTCTAAAACTTAAATACTCAAGACTAGGGTTGTTAGCTACAACCTCAGTTCTCTTAACATACATATGTACATATACTTTTTAAACATACTTGCTTGAAACCTTTGAATCATATATATTTATACATGATTTTACTTAAACTTACTGCGAAAGATTTAACTGTGAGCGATATCTATTCTCATCTCCACCATTCGCCCGCCGCTCGCCACTGTCCTTCAAGAATTACTGATAGGTTTCTTACCAACAGCATGAACATATCTAATTGAGCTTTCGCTCAACAAGTAGGAACTATCTCTCGCAAAATAACTGTAAGTTCACATGAATAAATATGCATGAGCTGATTATGCTTAATTATGATGTCTTATCATAGTCTTATTATCTTATCTTATCTATCTTACTGATAGGCCCGAGTGCTCGTACCACTTGTGCACAATCATCGAGACGTAAAGGTTTGCAAGGTCCCTAACAACACCGTGATTTAAATTGAACTGAGTGCCTCCCTTGCGGGGGACCCTTTTTTTTTGTTCCTTTATCTCCCTTGCAGAGTATGAGACTGCACAACTTACCCTTTCTTGGCCTTGTGCCTCAAGGGATTGATGGTTGTCACAGAGTTACCTCCCTTGCGGAGGCTGGGACTGCACAACTTACCCTTTCTTGGCCTTGTACCTCAAGGGATTGATGGTTGTCACAGAGTTACCTCCATTGCGGAGGCTGG